AAGAAAAAAAAAGCCAATAGAGACTTGTGTAGGTTCAAAGTATACAGGGGCCCAGGAGGTCAATGCCTCAGAGTAGGCAAAGACAGACATTCCAAGCTTGCCACTATTTATTGGATTCATAGGGAGTATCAGATGACTAGAGGGCATCGATAATCCTAAATTGATGAGGATCTCATAATTGGAGAAGTATCAGATGTCTCAGAGGGCAGCAGTAATCCTATGAGGAGGTTATGCTGATGAGGATTTTAGATCAAAGAGAAGTTTATGTTGATTAGGATAGTGAGATGAGCTAAATGTTCTTACAGCAGTAGGTGGGATGAGTTAAGCTGGTAAGGAATTTGTCCCTCCCTAGGGTGAAAACCTGTTTTGTTTTGTTTTGTTTTGTTTTGTTTTGTATTACTACTTGATTCTCAAAGAACCAGGATGTCTTTAGCTGATGTAATCTTCCCTTTAGTGTCACAGTATCACAGGACCACTGAGGCCTCAGACAGCCTTAATCATAATTTAATTATGAAATGATCTTTTCCCACAAATTGTGTAGAATGGCTCCTGACGTTGCCCCTCCATAATTCCACAGTGTTACATTGGAAGTAGTCCAATCAGCTGAGTTCATTTCCAGCCAAGGTCAACTGACTCCAACTAAATTCTTCCCCTCTGAATTAACTGTTTGTTCTCTTTAGCAAAGATACGCTTGTGCCTCATTCTACAGTTCTGCCTGCTTGATACTTGCTATCAGCAGGTGTCCCAAGGCCTTCCTAGCTCCCCTCCTTCCCACGCTTGTAATGAATAAATACTGGAAGTCCTAACAAACATGACATATTCTTTTTTTTGGGGGGGGTACCAGGGATCTAACTCTGGGACCTTGTGCTTGTGAAGCAGGCAGCGGCACCACTGAGTTAAATCCCCAGCCCTAAACATGATATATTCTTACTAAAAAGTATATTTGAGGGCCGGCATTTAGCTCAGTGGTTCCGGCGCCTGCCTTGAAAATGCAAGGTCCCAAGTTTGATGCCCGGTACCAAAA